CACCGCACCTCACCTCACCTCACCTGCCACACCTCACCTCACCGCACCTCACCTCACCTGCCACACCTCACCTCACTATACCTCACTTCTCCTTACATTTCACCACACTACACCTCACCTCACCACATCTCACCTCATTTCAGCTTAGCTCGCCACACCTCACCTCTTCTCACCTCACCAACCTCACCTCACCTCAACACACCTCACTTCATCATCTCACCTTACGACACCACACCACACCTTACCTCACCAAACCTCAAAACACTACAAACCACACCACACCTCACTATACCTCACCTCACCACACTGCACCTTACCATACCTAACTTTACCTCACTTTACCTTACCTCACAACTCCTCACCCACTTTTCTTACACACACCACACCTCACCTCACCACACCACACCTCACCTCACCAAACATCATCTCACCTCACCACACTTCACCTCACATCACTATGCCTTACCTCACAACAACTCACCCCAGCTTACCTAACCACAACTCACCTCACTATATCTCACTCACCTTACCATACCTCATCTCACTTCACCACAGCTCACCTCACTCACCTCACAAACCTCACAACACACAAACCACACCACACTTCACCTCACCACACCATACATCACCTCACCCTTCACCTTATCTCACTTCACCACAGCTCACCTCACCAAACTCACCTCTCACCTTTCATCTCACTTTACCACACCTAAACCTCAACACCACAAACGACATCACAGCATACCACACATATCACCTTAACACACCTCACCTCACCTCGACCCACCTAACCTCACCACAGCTCACCTCATCCCACCATACCTCACCTTACCATACCTCACCTCACAATCAATTCCTCACCTCACCTTACCATATATCACCTGGCCTTACCAAACCTCACCTCACCACAACTCACCATATATCACCTCACCACTACTCACCTCACTTCACCTCACCATATCTCAACTCACCTCACCTCACTATACCACACCTCGCCACACCACACTTCACCTCAATACACCTCACTTTACATCACCACCCCTCACCTCACCACACTTCACCTCACCTCACCACATCTCACCTCACATCACTATACCTTACCTCACAACTCTCACCTCACCTCACCTAACCACACCTCACCTCACTATATCTCATCTCACCTCACCATACCTCCCCTCACTCACCTCACCAAACCTCACAATGCCACAAACCACATCACACCTCACCTCACACTTCACCTCACCACAGCTCACCTCACCACACCACATGTAACCTCACTACATCTCATCTCACCTCACCTCACCACACCTTAGCTCGTTACATCTCACCCCACCTTACCATACATCACCTCACCTCACCACACCTCACCTCATCCCACCTCACCTCACCAAATGTTACCACAGCTCACCTTACCATACCTCATCTCACAACTCTTCACCTCACCTTACATCACCACACCTTACTTCACATACATCACCTTGCCTCACCATACCTCACCTCACCACTACTCACCTCACTTCACCTCACCTCACCACACGTCACTTCACCTTACAACTCCTTACCTCACCTTACCTAACCACACCTCACCTCACCTCACCATACCTCACTTCATCTCATCACACCTCACTAAACCTCACCTCATCTCACACCATACTTTACCCCATCAAACCTCACCATACCTCACCTCACCTCACACTTTACCTCAGCATGCCTCACCTCACTTCACCACAACTCACCTTGCATCACATCTCACCTCACCTTACTTAAGCACACCTCACGCCACACTTCACCTCACTGTACCTTACCTCACCACACCTCACTTCTCCTTACAACACTTCATCACACCTCACCTCACCACATCTCACCTCACATCACTAAACCTTACCTCACAACTCCTCACCCCACCTCACCTAACCACACCGCACTTTACCTCACTATATCTCACTCACCTCACTACACCTCACTTTACCTCACCGCAACTCACCTCACCGCATCTCATCTCACCTCATCACAGCTCACCTCACTCACCTCACAAACCTCACAACACACAAACCACACCACACCTCACCTCACCTCATTTCACACCTCAACTCACACTTCTCCTCACTTCACCACAGCTCACCTCTCTCCTTTCATCTCACTTTAACACACCCTAAACCTCACAACACCACAAACCACATCACAGCATACCACACACCTCACCTCAACACACCCCACCTCATCACCTCACCATATCACACCACGTTTCACCTCACCACACCTCACCTCAGCACACTCACATCGGCTCACTTCACTCTACCACATCTCACCTCACTTCACCTCACCAAACCTCAGCTTACCTCACCACCTTACCTCACGTTACCACACCTCACCTCACCTCACCCCACCCCACCTACCTAACCACACCTCACCTCACCTCACCTCACCTCACTATACTTCACCTCACGTCACCACACGTCGCTTCAGTCCTGGGAAATGAGCCGTGCTGGGGTTAGATGGAGGACCAACAAATTAGTCCAGATTTGATTGTCTTGCCTGTATCCACACTAGCCCAAATCAGGGCCTATCTTAGAAAACTTTCAGATTATCAGATTATTTTTAAATCTATAAGCTTCCAGGAAAAGAAGAACAAAATAGGTCATAATCAAAGGGATAAAAATGGCATCATATTTCTCAATAGAGATGTTGGAAATGAGAAAACTGCGGGCTGTCACTTTCAAGAACCTCAGCTATAATTTGTCTTTTTTTTTTTCAACTAAAGACAAATAATATAAATTCCTTTGAGGAAAAAAATAAGCTTAAAAGATGTAGTCTTTCTAAAGAAAGGGAATTAAGAGAAACTAAAAAACACATCATTTATCTTCATTATTGCTAAAACACCTGTTATTTGTGAAAAGACTTCTATTACCATCTTCCACAATCGGGACATCATCCAGAAGCTCCTTCTTAGGGAACTGGCTAGCGTCTTCCTCCATCTTAAGAAGCAGAAATTAGCTACAAAAAAATTATAACATATATATGAATAAGATCATAGTTAAAAAACATAAATATTGGGGGCACCTGGGTGGCTCAGTCGGTTAAGTGTCTGACTTTGGCTCAGGTCATGATCTTGCAGTTTATGAGTTCGAGCCCCGCGTCGGGCTCTGTGCTGACAGCTTAGAGCCTGGAACCTGCTTCAGATTCTGTGTCTCCCTCTCTCTCTGACCCTCCCCCGCTTACGCTGTCTTTCTCACTCTCTCTCTGAAATAAATAAAACATTAAAAAAAATTTTTTTTAATAAAAAACATAAATATTGGATTTCATAGGAATTAACAATTACTCTTATAAAAAAGACTAAGAAAATGGATGAGGGGCACCTGGGTGGCTCAGTGGTTAAGCGTCCGACTCTTGGCTTTGGCTCAGGTCCTGATCTCACGGTTTGTGGGCTCAAGCCCCATGTTGGGCTCTGTGGTGACAGTGCAGAGCTTGTTTAGGGTCCTTTCTCTTTCCCTCTCTCTCTGTCCCTCCCATGCTTGCTCTCTCTCTCTCTCAAAATAAATAAATAAATGTTAAAAGAAAGAAGAAAAGAAAATGGATAAGCCACAGACTAGGAGAAAGTATTTGCAGCACAGATATCTGACAATGGTCGTATATCCAGAATATATAAGGAGCCCTGAAATATCAACAATATAAAGTCCAAACTCCGACTGAAATGGCAAGGGAAGATACACAAATGGCCAATAAGCTTGTGACGCTTCCTGCAGCAGCATTAGTCGTGGGGGGATGTGAAGTAAGGCCGCCGTGAGACACTGCTGTACACCTGTTAGAATGGCCCAGATCAAAAATACCAACACTAACCCAGCACGTTACCCAGGAATCCTCCTCCAGGTATGTCCCCAGGAGAAACTAGAATGTACCCTTCAAACAACCTTGCACAGAGGTGTTGACCCAGATAGCCCCCAGCCGGAAAAACCACCCAAGTGCCCGTCACTGTGAGCGCGCTGCTCAGGGACAAGGAGCGGAGCGGATCCGCACAAGTGCGTGGTGTCAGGGGCGTCGCAGGAGGGGAAGGAAGCCAGACATGAAAGAGAACTTGGAAACCCGACTGTGGATCTGGGGTCAAAGGCGAGGAATGGGAGGGGGCGTGAGGAGCACGGTGGGCTGGGGGATGTTCTCGATCTTGTTTCGAGCGGCGGTTGCACAGGCGCACGTGATTATCAAACGTCATCCAAGTGAACATTCGGGATGTGTGTGCTGTAGCGTGTTACGTGTTATGGTGCAGGTCAGAGCAATTCTTAAGGAATTTCAGAATATTCCTTACACTCTAGTTACTTGAGGGACGTTAGGAGCCTGCCTGCTCTGAGCTCCGTATGCAACGTTGATATTATGTTGGAGATGCTACAATTGTAGATGAATTTGTTTTTCATTGCTCAACTTTGCAATTGCTTTGGAATAATCGACTGAAAAAAAATTTTCAAAGCCTAATAATGTTTCCTGGATAAATCAATAATAAGTCAAGGCTAGTGATTCATTTTTAAAAATTCGACGAAGAAATAATCATGCGTTACAGTTCTGAGAGGCAGAATTTCAAGGCATCTTGTAAAATGCCAACGATACTCCTCCCACTTGAAAAAGCCTATTAACCCCCTGGTCTGTGAACGCCAGAGCTTTTAGAAGATATTTATTAAACACAGTGGCCAAATTGGTTCTGCTCTGCTCTGCGCCCGTGAACTCCACATGCTCCTCACAGTGTCCTTTAATTGTCCCCCCCCCGCCGCGGGATGGCGGTCTGGACGAGCTCGTCACACATACAGCTCACACATACAGGTTATTTAAAATAACCACATCAAACCACATACACTTCTTTTTTTTTTTTTTTTTTAAATGTTTTATTTATTTCTAGGAGAGAGAGAGAGAGAGAGAGAGAGACCGCGTGAGCAGGGGAGGGTCAGAGAGAGAGAGGGAGTCACAGACTGAAACAGGCTCCAGGCTCTGAGCCGGCAGTCAGCACAGACCCCGACGCGGGGCTCGAACCCACGAACCGCGAGATCATGACCTGAGCGAAAGTCAGACGCTTAACCGACTAAGCCACCCAGGCGCCCCCCACATACACTTCTTTTTCTAAATGTTTATTTACTTCGAGAGAGAGAGAGAGAGAATCCCCCGACGCGGAGCTCAGTCTCATGAACCATGAGATCATGACCTGAGCCAAAATCAAGAGTCGGACGCTCAACAGACTGAGACCCCAGGTGCCCCTGAACCACGTACACTTTGAACATCCAGTTCCAGACACGTGGCCTCTGATGTCTCTTCAATTCTCACTAAAACAGGGGCGCCTGGGTGGCTCAGTCGGTTAAGCGTCCGACTTCAGCTTGGGTCATGATCTCACAGTTTGTAGGTTCGAGCCCCGCGTCGGGCTCTGTGCTAACAGCTCAGATCCTGGAGCCTGTCTTCTGATTCTGTGTCTCCCTCTCTCTCTGACCCTCCCCTGCTCATGCTGTCTCTATCTCTCCTTCAAATAAAAAAAAAAAAAAATTCTCACTAAAACAACAGCAGAAAGATTCCGTTTTTCTAACACATGCATCTGTGAGGACGTGGCAAACGGGAGAAGAAACCGTTTGAACAAAACAGAAGCGGGAGCGGGAGGCGCTAGCAGCCCCGCAGGCGGAGGTGTGGACCGACCTCCAGAGGAAACGCTGGAGCCACAAAAACCCTTCTGCAGCCACAGCCTGTGAAAGGCCCCAGAACCGGTGTCTGGGGGGGGGCGGGGGGGGCGGGGGGAAGTAGAATCAGAAACAGATTTGCTAAATCGCGCTGGAGAAGCAGTTGGAACTTCCATTTCCATTTTTGGCAGCGCGGCTGTCCAGCGTGCCAGCCATCACTCTAAAAATAGCCACAAATGCTGCATAAAATTGTATTTAATTGCCTTAAAAACCTTAAGAATTGACTAGAAAGTAAAAAATCATCAGGTCAAAATTTAAGTGAAGGCAAGATTATAAATAGGTAAAATGGCCAAGGCAAAAAAAAAAAAAGTCTCTTTGTAAATTGGATTTAAAGACTGATAGCAACAACCAAAAAATCTAACTGTCCACTATTTGGAGACATCTAAAACACGAGCTTACAGAAGCACTGAAATTTTTTTCACTGTTTATTTATTTTTGAGAGAGAGACAGGCATGAGCAGGGGAGGGTCAGAGAGAGAGAGGGGGACACAGAATCCGAAGCAGCTCCAGGCTCCGAGCTGTCAGCACAGAGCCCGACGCGGGGCTCAGACCCACAAACCGTGAGATCACAACCTGAGCCGAAGTCAGACACTCAACCAACTGAGCCAGCCGGGTGGCCTGAAGGGACAATTTTACATCCATGTGTGTTCACTAACGGAGTCACAAAGGAGACAGCACAGATCAACAGAACAAGGAAGAAGTCAAAATGCCAACTCTCGCAGGAGACTTTCACACGCCCTCTCAGGAACTGATAACAAAAGCAGACAACAGAAGTCATTAATGTGGCACAACATCATTAACAAACTGAACATGACAGACGTATAGAGCATACCAACGACAGAATAGTAAGTGCCCCTGAAAGCACATGCTGAATATTTACAAAAGCCGTCTCCTGGGCCCAAAGCAGGTCTCAATAAATTTTAAAGGACTAAAATGGTACACGGCTTTGAGGAGCATAGGGAATACAGTCAGCTATACTGTGACAGCTTTGTGTGGTGACAGATGGTGACTACACTTATCGTGGCGGCAACTCTGTAATGTACATTAATAGCAAATCACTATGTTTCAGGGACACCTGAAACAGATACAATATTAATATTGTATGTCATTTATTCCTCCATGAAACAACCATAGAAAGCTTGTTCTCTGACCAAAAGTCATCCGGCCAAGTCAATAACAAATAGAGAACTATTTTTGAAAAATAAGAAACATACGTCTAGGGGCACCTGGGTGGCTCAGTCAGTTAAGCATCCAACTTCGGCTCAGGTCATGATCTCACGGTTTGTGGGTTCGAGCCCCACATCGGGCTCTGCGCTGACAGCCCGGAGCCTGGAGCTGCTTCAGACTCTGTGTCTCCCTCTTTCTCTGCTCCTCCCCCACTCATGCTCTCTCTGTCTCTCAGAAATAAATAAACGTTAAAAACAATTTTAAAAAAAGAAACCTACTTCTAAATAACCCATGGGTCAAAGAAAATATCATGCTGGAAATTATAAAATACTTTGAGCTGAGTTACGATGACAGTAGTGCCTGTCAGCCCTGGCGCAGCCTACACCGCACAAGCGTGTGACCTTGGTGCATATACGGTATTTGGAAAAGGCGAAAAGTTTATGCACTGAACATCCAACGCAAGTAGTTACAGAAAGAACTGCAAAATGAACCCAAAGAAAGCGGAAGAAAGAAGGCTGAAAAGATTAAAAATTAATGCAACAGAAACTAATGTATAGGATAGAGGGTTTGCATTTTTAAAAGATTTATAAAGTCGATAAATGTATCAGGAAAACATTAAAAAATAAAGAAGTCACGGACAACCTTATGCCAGTAAATTTGAAAATGTAGACAACAGGACAAATTATTAGAGAAATATTACTAATCAAAATTGTTTGAGAAAGGGGCGCCTGGGTGGCTTAGTCGGTTAAGCGTCCGACTTTCGCTTAGGTCATGATCTCGCGGTTCGTGGGTTCGAGCCCCGCGTCGGGCTCTGTGCTGACTGCCATCAGAGCCTGGAGCCTGTTTCAGTCTNACTCTCTCTCTCTCTGACCCTCCCCTGCTCACGCTGTCTCTCTCTCTCTCCTAGAAATTAAAAAAAAAAAAAAATTAAAAAAAAAATTGTTTGAGAAAAAAACTTCAACATCCCATAAGCATAAAAGAAACTCAATCAGCAGTCAAATAACATTCCCATGAAAAACACTCCAGGCTCAGAGGCTTCCCCATCGAGTTTCAGGAAACTCAGACACGCAGACCACCGGGTTCACGCACACCACCTCCAGGAGCGAGAGGCAGGTCCGGACTTCTC